GGGCCTCTAGTATAAACATATTTTCTTCAGACTCATTATAGCCTCCTTAGGTTACCTTGAAGCTGCTTTTGTGGTTGCAATTACCATATATATTTTGGCAACTCTTAATCTATAATTCTTGCCCTTCCTGAACTTCTGACTGTATCTAAATGCTTACTAGGTGTCTCCTGACATCCCAAACTCAACAGATCCAAAGCAGAACTCATTATCACACTTTCAGAACTGGACTTTTCTTCTTAGTTGCTCAATCTCAGATATGAGGTAAGGGCCTGGGTTGATTCAGTGGACTAATTGACTAGGCTGGTTGGTACTTATTGCCTCATAAGTTCATTACAGATTGGTAAGGATGACTTTGCAAAATAGAGGAGAGCCATTCTTCAGTCAAGGACAACTAAAAAGCCATGCTTCCCACTTAGAATATTCATTAAGCTAGTTCAAAAAACTCCCTACTTTAAATTATGATGTCACCATCTGCCTAGCCACCGAAAGCCAGGAACCTGAGGGTCATCTTAGATTTTCTCTTTTCTCTCACCTTCCTCATTATGCTCAGCCTTACTTTTATAATAAATAACTTTGTTTTTGTGCTTTTAACTATTTTAGAAAAAGTATTCAAATTCAGGTTGAGTTTCTCTTTCCCTGCTTTCGCTTCCCAGGTTCAGGTGTTCATTTCTCGCTTGGCATATTTCAACTGCTTCCGAGACAATCTTCCACCCTTTGGCTTTGGCTCAAGTCCCTTTTTACATAAGGTTGCCTGTGACCTACTTGGAATGCAAATCTGATCAAGTTTATAGTACCGATCAACTGGCTTTAATGGTTCCTCATGGCCTAGAGTATAAGTCAAAGGCCCTATGTGACCCTGCCCTTACCACTCCAGCTTCCTTTGCAGCCTGTTGACTTCACACTTCCTGTTTCAATAACACTAAACTATTTTATGTGTTTTCACTTTCAGGTCGTACTGTTTAATGACTTCATAATTTTGTTTGTACCTATAATGATCTCTCTGTCACTCCTACTCATCCTTCAAGGATAATGTTGGGGTAGCATCTCTGTAGGACGCCCTCCCTAACTTATCAGGCTGAGTGAGGTGAGAGCTCCCTGAACACCCAAGGATCTTGGTACACACCTCATCCAGTTATTTACTGCACTTTCTCGCACCAGCTAGGAGGAAAACATATCAAAGTCAGAGATTGCTTCATGTTCTAGCACTATACTTGAATCATCCACAATAAATGTCTAGTGAGTAAGGCTGAAGAAAATGTATACTGTAGATCAGGGGTCCTCAAACTACGGCCCGTGGGCCACATGCAAATACAAATATTGTATTTGTTCCCGTTTTGTTTTTTTACTTCAAAATAAGATATGTGCAGTGTGCATAGGAATTTGTTCATAGTTTTTTTTAAACTATAGTTTGGCCCTCCAACGGTCTGAGGGACAGTGAACTGGCCCCCTGTTTAAAAAGTTTGAGGCCCCTGCTGTAAATATTTAGGCTGAGGTGAATCAGAGGTTCTCAGCACAAGTCTTATATAGGAAATACCTAGGAATCTTTAACAAATACAGATGCCAATGGCCCACCCGAATCTATGTTGTTTTTTAAAATTTTTTTATTAAAGTATAGTTTGCATACACTATTAGATGTTTCAGGTGTACAACATTTGTGATTTGACATTTATATACCTTACAATGTGATCACCACACTAAATCTAGTAATCATCTGTCACCATTCAAAGCTATTGCAATATTATTGACTGTTTCCCTTCAACCCTTTTCACCTATTCCCCCAAACCCGTCCTCTCTGGCAACCATTAATTTGTTCTCTGTTTCTAGAAGTATTTTATGTGGGGTATTTTGTTGTTGTTCATTATTTTGCAATTCAGTGATTTTATTCCTTCATTTTTATTGAATTTATTCAGGTGACATTGGTTAACAAAATTATGCAGGTTTCAGTTGTCAACTGTTTTACACTAAACAGGCCAAAACATTGAGTTGCCTGGCTGATTTATCTATAAATGACCTGTGATCCACTTCACAGCATCTTTTTTGACTTTTATTTTTTAAATTTATTATTTTTGTTGAATTTATTGGGATAATATTGACTAAGAAAATTATATAGGTTTTAGGTATACAATTCTATAACACATCATCTGTATGTGGTATTGTGTGTTCACCATGTCAAGTTAAGCCTCCTTCCATTGCCATTTATCCCCCCTTTCCCCTTCTTACCTCCCCCCACCCAGCCCCCTTTCCCTCTGGTAATTACCATACTGTTGTCTGTATTTCATAGTCAAGATAGGTTGTCCGCTTTCACCACTCTTATTAAACATAGTACTGGAAGTCCTAGCCATAGCAATCAGACAATAAGAAGGAATAAAAGGCAACCAAATTGGAAAGGAAGAAATAAAACTCATTATTTGCAGATGACACAATGCTATATATAAAGAACCCTAAGGATTCCCCCAAAACTACTAGAACTGACAAATTCAGTAATGTAGCAGGATACAAAATATATATCCAGAAATAGGTTGCATTTTTATACAGCAAAAATACACTACCAGAAAGGGAAACTAAGAAAATCCCATTTACAATTGCATAAAAAAATACCTTGGAACAAATTTAACCAAGGATGTAAAAGACCTGTACTTAGAAAATTATAAGATACTGAAGGAAGAAATTGAAGAAGATACAAATAAAAGGAAGCATATATCATGTTAATGGACATCATTAAAATGTCCATACTACCCAAGAAATCTATAGATTCAATGCAATTCCTATCAAGATAACAATAATGTATTTCACAGAACTAGAACAAATACTTGAAAAATTCATATGGAACCACAAAAGACCTCACATAGCCACAGCAATCTTGTAAAAGAACAAAGTTGGAGGAATCACGCTACCTGATATCAAACTATATACTCCAAGGCCATAGTAATCAAAACAGCATGGTACTGGCATAAAAAGACATACAAATCAATGGTAAATCAATATTTAACAAAATAGGAAGAACATACAATGGGGTAAAGATAGTTTATTCAATAAATGGTGTTGAAAATTGGACAGATATGTGCAAAAATATAAAATTAGACCACCTTCTTACACCATATGCAATAACAAACTTAAAATGGATTAAAGATTTAATGTAAGACTCAAAACCATAAAAATCTTAGAAAAAAAATTGGTAGTAAAATCTCAGACATGTCTTGTAGCAATATTCTTTTCCTGATATGTCTCCTCAGTCAAGGAAAGATAAACAAATGGGACTACATCAAATTAAAAAGTTTTTGCACAACAAAATAACCATCAACAAAATGAAGACATCCCACTGAATGGGAGAACATATTCACCCATTATACATCTAGGGGTTAATATAAAAAATTTATAAAAAACTTATACAACACCAAAGGAAAATCAAATAATCCAATTTAAAAATGAATAGATTTTTCTCAGAAGAAAACATACAGATGGACAATAGATATATGAAAAGATGCTAAAACCACAATGAGATATCACCTCACACTTGTCAGAATGGCTATCATCAATAAATCAACAAACAAGTGGTGGAGAAAAGGGAACACTGTGCACTGTTGGTAGGAATGCAGACTGGTGCAGCACTGTGGAAAACAGTATGGAGTTTCCTTTAAAAATTAAAAATGGAACTGCCTTATGACCCAGCAACTTCACTTCTGGGAATATAACCGAAGAAAACCAAAACACTGATTCGAAAGAATATATGCACCACTATGTTCATTGCAGCATTATTTATAATACCCAAGATTTGGAAACAGCCCAAGTGCCCATCAGTAGATAAGTGGATCAAAAAGCTGTGGTACATTTACACAATGGAATACAACTTGGCCTGTAAGAAGAAGGAAATTTTACTTTTTGCACCAGTATGGATGGACCTGCAGAGTATTATGCTAAGTGAAATAAGCCAGTCATAGAAAGACAAATAACATTGATTTCACTTAAATGTGAAATCTGATGAACAAAACAAACACATAAAGTGGAAACAGACTTAAAGATACAGAAAACAGACTGATAACTGTCAGAGGGGAGGGGTTTGGTGAAAAAGGTAAAGGAATTAAGCAAAAACAAAACAAAACCCCACACCCCATTCCTTAAATCCGAAGGTCAGAAAGGGGAGCCTGGGCATGTAGTCATTTAAAACTCACGTGACAATGTGCAGGTGAGGCTGGGTAGCAATTGGTTAGATGATCAATGGGCAAGAATTTCATAAGTTGTATGCTAGAGACAGATGGAAGTACTGATGTGCAAGGCAGCTTTCATTCATGAAATTCTGTGTGATGATTGCTGGGATTATGCTTATTATTGGTTAATTTCCCCAAGATGCTCTCCACATATTTTAAAGATTGTTTTGTATGCAGGTAACTTAGTTGACCAGCCAGGAACCAGACTGTGAGTCATTCCATAACATTAATGTTCTTGAAAGACTACCACCACAAATACACATGTATTTGTTATAAAAGATGTAAGAAAATGTAGCAAGAGGAGGAAAGGGAGGTGTGGGTTTTAGACGCTTTATACATCCATGCCACGATGTTAGGGAAAGAGTTTCAAATCTAAGTACTTTCTAGTTCTCTTGAAATGCCACATTTGTAATATTCAATTTTATTCATGTCACCTTATTTATGGTGATGATGATGATGAGCAGTAGATTTTCTCTCTTTTATATTATCAGTGTCTATGCAGTGTCATATGTTCATTTTAGAGGCTTTTATAATTACCAGGACTTGGAATAAATTCTATGTGAAATAAGAAAGCCAGTTTGAGACATTAGTATTTGTGGGAGAACTAAGTGACTCCAGTTTATAATTTTCCCATGATAAATGCTTTCTAAGAAAAGGAATACGTTTTGAATATGAACATAAACCAGTAAATAAAAGGGAAGGAACTCCTTTTAAAACAATCACCTAAGTGTTATGAGAAAATACTCCAGAGTCTTACAATCTCAAAACCAACTCTCAATATTCAAACTCTCAATCTGTTTGATTAAAAAAGTTTATTGAGCTGTAAAATAAATACACTTCCATTAAATATTAAATAAATTATTTACAACCTGAAAAAATACTTTTTCTCTCCATGCATCTTTATATACAGACATAAGACTTGCATAAAAAGTGACAATTGAAAGTTTGAAACCATTAGAACAAGAACGTTCAGTTTTCTTATGATCCACTGAGAAGAGGAACCAACTCATCACTCCTGGTTGTGACTTGGCAGTGACTCCCATCCCTGTTCAAAAATAAAATAAGGTGTTAGAAACAAGCTCAGTTCCAGCACAGCTTTAAGAATATGTCCAAGAATCAGAATTTCTGTCAACTTGTATTTCTAGGATGTCTTAGGAAGAATGCTACAAGCGTTTCAGAGCTAGACTATCACACTGATTTGAATCCCTCTTTCACACCTCCTTTGGTTACATGCCTACTTAGGTAGAAGGCTGAATATGCTTAAACCTGTTCCATTACATTCTGCTTAATAAGAGGCAACAACAGTAACCAAATCTATGCAGTGGACATAGTTAAAAACAAAGGTTAAGTGGCTCAGTGTATTTATGTTATACAGTTAATTTAAGATAATTAGTAGCGAGAGCATAATAATAGTAGCTACCAGTTAATAGGCAGCCAGTGTGTGCCAGCACAGCATATTCCTTTACCTAAAATCATCTGGGACCTGCTTGGGAGGGAGAGGAGGATAAAGGGGGGATAAATAGTGATGGAAGGAGACAGGACTTGGGGTGGTAAACACGCAATACAATATACAGACGATGTATTATAGAACTGTACAACTGAAACCTATATAACTTTATTAACCAATGTCACCCTTAATAAATTCAATAAAAATAATAAAAAATTAAAAAAGAAATCTCAGTCGCACTAAGACACCAAAAATCCACCCTCATTCATGTTGGTAGTCTTAGCATCAGCACATTAAGCCCATACATTAATACGTTTTCATACAATAAGGACCTGAGTATAGCATTGGCATGGATAATTACCCATTTCCTGAATTTACTGAGTTAGTTATGTAATAGGCTTGCAACATACCAATGTTAAATGTGGTATTTTTCCAAGCAAGCATTTAGAGCAGGTGTGGGCAACTTTTTGACTTGAGGGCCACAATGGGTTCTTAAACTGGACTGGAGGGCCGGAACAAAAGCATGGATGGAGTGTTTGTGTGAACTAATATAAATTCAAAGTAAACATCATTACATAAAAGGGTACGGTCTTTTTTTTTTTTTTAGTTTTATTCATTTCAAACGGGCCGGATCCGGCCCGCGGGCCGTAGTTTGCCCACGGCTGATTTAGAGTGTTAATTTAAAATGGAAATGCTGATTTAGTCAATTTGGAATTTGGCTTAAAAATATGCATATTTAATAAGCATCTCAAGTCATTCTTAAACTCATCAAAGGGGAAAAAAATCAATGACTTAAGGATGGGACATCTTTCCTAAATGTCTGAGGAAACAGAGTGCCTTCTTCTGACTGATTTTAAGTGTGTCCTGGAGCTCCTTGCTCCCTCTTCCTCTAGAAGTTTGCTTCATTAGTGTTCACTTTGTTATTTATCAAATCTCCCTCTCCATACTTTCTTACCTTCTTCCTACCAACATGCTCAACTCATCTTCTTTACAAAAAAAATAAAAATAAAAACTGCAATATATAATCTAACCAAGTTCTCACAAATCTGCACCCCCTTCACCCTTCCTACTCTGTTCCTTTAAAAGGATATTCAACCTGCTGTCTCCACCTCACATTTGTAATGCAAGCACTCCGACTTTGGCTCTCCATCATGTGAGCTCAATCTACCATTTCAACCTACTCTCCCCCAACATGCATTTGAACTAGGCTATTTGTCACAAGTTTCCCAATGACCTAGTGCATCTCACAACATTAATCTTCCTATCCTTTCATAATTGCTTGTCCCAATCTCATCAGTCCTTTAAGGCTTACTCCAATGCCACCCGATATATCCATTCTCTCATGCTCTGTAAATGCATCCTACTGGATTCCTTCTACCCCTTCATTGGAAACTCCTCATATCCCATTGGTTTCTTTCTTTTTTAAAAAAATTAATTTATTGGGGTGACATCAGTTAAGAAGATTATATAGGTTTCAAGTGTACATTTCTATGATACATCATCTGTATATTGCATTGTGTACCCACCACCCAAAGTCAAGGCTTCTGTCACCATATAATTGATCTCCTTTACCTTTTACTCCCCCTCCACCTTCCTTCCCACTGGAAACCATCATACCATTGTGTGCGTCTATAAGTTTTTATTTTTCTCATTTGTTCATTTACTATTTTCAGTTTTATATCCCACATGAGTGAAATCATATGGTTCTTGGCTTTTTCTGTCTTACTTAGCTATCTTAGTATGATATTATATATATATATATATATATATATATATATATATATACTGAAATACTACTCAGCCATAAGAAAAGATGAAATAATGGTCCTTTGCAACAACATTGGTTCCTTTCTCATGACACACATTTTACTTCACCTAGTATTCTGTTTCCTTACCCAATTTTCTGTCTACTAAACATTAAGTTTGTTGAGAAGAGCATCTATGTTTCCCTCGTGCTTATATCCCTTATAATACTAAGGACAGAGCCCTTTCTCAATATTGAACTCTACCTCCTGTTTAAAGAATAACACTTTAATGTAGCCAATGTTCACAGTGTATCCATAATTAAGAACACTTACTTTCCTCATTTTTCTTAATAGATGCTATATTTTTTCAAAATTACATTATGTGATCTAATGATATCTTTTAAAATACAAACCTGTAATATCATCTTCATTTATGCTATGATGTGTGCATTTCCATTTCCATTTTCTTGTCGAAGTTTCTTTTGTTCTTCAGCTTCTCCTTCATATTCCCTGAAGTATCGCTTTCGAAGCCTTCAGAGAACAAAATATGCTACTGTCATCAAAGTTTTATTTATCATATATTAACTGGGGTTTTCAGGAGTACAGGGAATTCCTTTTTGTGCATCCTTTATAGACCATTATACATTATACCCTACACCATAAAGTTTTTTTCATGTTTTCCAAAGGATTATTAAATATTTCAACTTGAATAATTACAGGTTTAAATAATTACTTCAAAACATCTTTAATTGGCAACCTTTTTTTCTTTCTCTCCTATGTCAAATAATAATGGTTTGTCTGAGGGTATCTTTCCTAAACATATCTGCATATCTAGTTTGAGGTACTGACAGATCAACATCATTTCTAGGGTGTGCAAAACAAATTTAAACCACAGATCAAACTTTATGTGCACCATAAAACAGTGTTCTTTTTTTAAGTGCCATTTTATCATTATCTGATCCGCATTTAAAATAATAGTAAACAATGGCAGAGATAACCCCTTGTTTCCTGAATGGCAAGAGTGGTGGATCATGTACACAATCCAGTTGTTAAAGTAATTTACCAAGACCTAAAATTAGAATAATGAGTCTATTGCTTTTCCCAAGCTCCAGTAGCACATGAGTCATCATAGAGCCATTCACACCCTCCCCCAGCTTCCTTAATTCACTGCCTTCTGTTTGACAGACAATGCCATTTTCACATACCCACCAGTGTCTACAAGCCGGAACAGTCTAGTTCTAGCATTCATTGGTCATGAAGTGAAGTATCTGATCTGTCACTGTGAGCACAGAGAAGATATTGCAGGAGCGAAACAAGTAATAGAATTGTCCCTGCTTCCTACGCCATACCATACCTCCATATGGAGGAAATGTTGTGTGTTTTTAATAATTGAGTTCCCATATTGCATTTGACCATAACAAAATAGGCATAAGCTCTAAGTAAATTAGGATCATGCTATAAAATTCCTAATTTGGAATTTTGCATTCTAATAAAAGCAAAGACGTATCTTTTCTGGGCTCCTGTTTTGGAGCTCTCTGTGATTTTTAGTATCAAAGCAGTATCTCTGACAACCTACTTTGAACAAGGCCTTAGATTCTGGGAGGCTAGCTTAAGCTTAAGATACTCATAGTAGATACCAACACTCTGCAATTTGAAAGTAGTCATGAGTAGAAATATGACATGAAACAAAACCATCAATTTTCAAGTTCAAAAAATGTCTAGATTTTGTGGAAAAGGCCTTTACATATTAAGTTTCTGTGGTGGTCAAAGTAACATAAATTTGGACCATACTGTGATCTTTGTCAATGGAGTATAAAGATATGACCAAAGATCACATGCCACCAATAGAATAATTTATTTAAAATATGAGAGTATAATAAAAATATTGAAATTAACCTGGCATGATTTCATGAGAAATGTTTAAGTTATGCCATACTTACTGGATTATAATAATAGCAGCAACAACAGTGAAGGTCACAGCTGAGACAAAGGCAATTATGACTGCTAACGTAATTTTTGATAAGTCACCATCAACCATGCTCTGAGTCTTCATGGACTTTCCCCCACACCGTTCACCAAAGTAATCCTGATGACATCTGTAAACAACCCACATTTCAAAATTATAATCTCTGAAAACATTCTATATATTTTAGGCTTACTTTCCAGGTTATAGCCATTTAATTCTAATATTTAAAAAATAAAGCACACCTTATTTGTATTTCAAATTCTAAGACATACAATGCATTCAAGCCAAAGATCTGTTCATAAGAGAACAAGTTGAGATTAGTTTGGGTGTTATTCTAGGAAGACACACCTTTTCATTCTTTGTGCTCCTTTTATGACCAGCTGATGAGTTCAGTGATTTGTTATGCAGCTAAAACATTTCACTATCATTTCATGTACTAGCAGCTTTTGGGGGGAAGGAGGATAGATCAACATTATGTGAAAAGTATCTTTAGGTCATTTTTTACCAAGAGGTTATGTAAAACCTATATTGTAAAATGATGGTTTGTACCAGGGGTCAGTCAACTACAGCCCATGGGTCAAATCTGGCCATTTGTCAGGGTTTTTAAAGTGTACAAGCCAAAAATGTTTTTTACATTTTAATTGATTTTTAGAGTGAGGAATGGAGAGGGAGAGAAAGAGAAAGAGAGAGAGAAACATCAATGTGAAAGAGAAACATTGATTAGCCACCTCCTGCATGCCCTTACCAGGGATCTAGACTGCAACCAGGGCATGTACCCTGACCCAGAATCTGTCGACCTTTGGGTGCACAGGAGGATGCCCAACCAACAGAGCCACACCTCTCAGGGCTACCCAGTTACTTTTTAATTTGTTGTATAAGTACATACATAATCTTGACCCAGGAAGTCTAAAATATTTACTGCCTGGTTCTTTAAGAAAAGGTTTGCAGACTCTTGGTTTATACATTGGAAATATGAAAATGGTTTTCTGCAGCTGGAAGTTTCAGACATGGTGTTAGAAATACAGAATTCTACGTAATTTAGGAAAACTTACTTGCATGATACTCTTTTCAGATGCTCTATATATTTGCATTCTCCATGAATGCAGAAATTTTGAAATTTTGTATCACATGGATTTTTCTTTTTGTTCTTTCGATTTTTTCTATTTTTCTGTCCTTTTTTCTTTCTTTTGGGTTTGTCTGTAGTGTTTTCACTTTCTGTCTTGTTTTCCTTGGGTTTAACTACCTGTTCAACTAAAAAAAAAAAGATTTATTGACAAGAGTCTCTCTTCATTTTGAATATCATTTTGGAGACATGACAGAAAGAAATTTTAATAGTGAGAGCTCATGGGAATAACCAGCATATTTGTCTCATTATGTAACACAATTCATACACAATAATAGGGCAAAGAGAATACATGTATCGTGTGGCACTTATAAATCTGAACCCCTTTGTTATTTATTCACTTAGAAACATATTTTGAATTTATATGTATCATTATTATCATTATTGATGATATGGGTTACCTGTCCAAGAAAACCCATAAAATATTTTAAACAGCTTTCAAATTTCTAGTAAATACCAAGTTCTTGGTACTGGACATTAATTAAATTAAACTCAAATAACAGTGGAATGTATTGTTACCCAGATGATATAAAGGAGGACCCTGAAGTTGAGTGAAGATAAATAACTGGCCCTGGGACACGCGGCTTGCAAATGGCAGTGCTGGGACTTCACAGCCTGTCATTTCCCCGCTCCATCATGTTTTCTCTTGGAAAAGGTCAATGTCATTTAATGTCATAAAATGGGACATGCGCATATTTGTGGCTTTTATTTATCCATATGGGTCTAGTGCTCACTATCATAATTGGGAATTAGTGTGCATTGCCTGAGGGTGGGAAAACCTGAAGCTTATACATTAGAGATCATCCGTTTTCTCCAACTCCCACATTACAATGGACTATAATTAATCAATACCTTCCAGGGGGTTCATTTCTGTGGTCAATCAATTTGAAAAAATAAGAGTCTAGCCAAACCAGTTTGGCTCAGTGGATAGAGCGTCGGCCTGCGGACTGAAGGGTCCCAGGTTCGATTCCGGTCAAGGGCATGTACCTTGGTTGTGGGCACTTCCCCGGTGGGGAGTGTGCAGGAGGCAGCTGGTCAATGTTTCTCTCTCATCGATGTTGCTAACTCTCTATCCCTCTCCCTTTCTTTCTGTAAAAAACCAATAAAATATATTTTTTTTAAAAAGAGTCTAGATATATTTGTTCTTGATGCTTCAGAGACTCATCTTAACTCCCAGATCCACAGAAATGTTTTTTTCATTGTCATCGTTATGCAGGGTATAGTTTCCCTACATGTTAAATATAGAGAGAAGGAGTTTTAATGTTAGAGCTGTGCATTTTGTAGTATTAATCCCTGAATAGACTTATCTGACCAAATATTGAGCAAAGCTCAATGACAAGAGGCAATGATCATAATGTCAATGTCATAATCCCATTAGTCATAATGGTCCTACAGTGTCCACTAAATGGAAAACATTAGAAACATAGGGAAGGGTATCAAGATAGAACCTTGTGATTAAAGAAACAACAAATAAATATTATAAATATTTCAGCAGGTTATTACAACAACATTAAGAATAGTCAAAATGGGAGCTATGTTTAATAGGTAGCTATTCAATTTTTATACTGAAACTTTCCTCTGATATTAAAAAAGTGCCACAAGTTAGAATAAGTCCTCTTATAGGTACATTGTAAATGGCTATTATTGCATTTTACCAGACATATTACAAAGTTTAGACAGAGGCAAATAGTTGCTATTCTGAATAACCCCTTGGATTTAATAGCCTTTCAAAGGAGTTAAACCAACATTTTCACTCTTATCACACAATGTACTGCAATTTTAACCACTAGCCATTTTCACTACTAACAACTTGACCTTTTGAAATGTTAACAACTGGAAACATCTTTAAGAGAACAGTTTCTAGAATCTTAATGGTCTAATATAATTTCTCCAAAAGTAAGAATTATAAATGGACCTCTTCCCACCATACATCCAAGTACAAGTTCTGAAGCAAGGGAATAAAGTGGAGTGTTCACTAAAGCTTTTCCCACCTGTCACTTAAGCAGGTCACTGTCCCTATGGTATCACTGGTCCTCTCTCACCAGTTCTGGGATCCAGGCAGAGAGGGAGAAGTCCAGGAAGCTAATGTTAGTAGAGAAAGGGCCTCATGTCCTGCCTTCACAGTGGATGATACTAGGATATTCAGATCTGATTTACTGATGACCTTGTCTGCCCTCGAACTCGGAAGTAATATGAGGGTAATGAACAATCTTTACCTCCTACTTAGATACTCTCATTTTAAGTAAATGTTCTTTTCTAAAGCCAACAGACAAAGCGAAGAAAACTATGACTCACTATTATTGAGCAGACAAATGGGATTTGGAGTTAAATTGTGATTTTAGTGATGTAAAATCCATGCATATCTGTTCCTTAATATTTCCAGAAGATGCTATTATAATTACATATTATAATTACCTATTCAACATCTAGTGCTTAAGGCTGAAGTCCAATTGCTCCTTTTCCTCTGTTCCCTTGTGCTAGAATGTACTTCCTTTAGGGAAGAGTGGTGGTGGGAGAGGGAACAGAAGCTGAGATACAGAGGAGACAGAACTAGCAGGTGTCTATGTCTGTCTCTCAGAGTAGGGTGTGTGAGGCACAGTGGGAAAGAGCATAGGATCTGGAATCAGACAGATTGGAGTTCTCATTCTGGCTCATCTGCTTACTGGCTAATGGAACCTTGAGCAGAACACTGAACCTTTGCAAGCTTCAATGACCATATCTGTGAAACGATATTTCCTATTCATAGAGTTGTTGTGAAGATTGGACTTAATAGACATAAAACATTAGAGATCTTGACATATAGGATGTGCCCTCATATAGCTCTTTCCATCTCAGTTTGTGGGCTTACCTAGCAGGCTATACAACAGCCACACATACCATAAAGCCACTGGAAGATTCAGGGAGCGGCTTTTCTTTGGAATTCGCTTTGCTCATACAAGCACACACTGCATAGAATACATTTTCGCCTTATCCTCTACTCACCTCTGACTGAATCATCTACGATATAGCCAGATATTTGCCTCTCAATATCATACTCTTCTGCATAGTCATAGTCGCTCCCCGAGGACAGTTCACCATCAGAAGGCACCTCACTCACAAGGGAAATCTCACTTCTTGAGGTGACTTCAAATTCATCAGCACTGTAGTCCCCAGAAAAGGGCTCCCCTTTCCCAGAGGAGGTGTCATTGCCGGCCGATCCAGCAGCATAATGGGCTATGGGAGAAAGAACAAGGGAAGAAATGGTAAAGCAGAGTGCCTTTCTCGCCAGTCAGCCGCGCTCAGGAGAAATGTTTATCTTCTGATATCAAAGCAGTTATTGCATATGTGCGATTGCGATTGCGTCACTCATGAAAGCAACTCCACGTTTTGCCAACAAGCAAACTCAGCTGTTCCAATTACAGAGCTTCTTTCATCGAGGTTTTCTTTTCCACGGAGAGTCTACATTAATTTCCACATCAAAAAAAAAAAATACTGCCAAGTAGGCAAATTAATCTAACATACATAATTACTTAACAGGTATTGTCTAAATATTCCCATCTCTTCACATACCAAATGCATTGGTTGCTAGAATGCCGCCTGCCCCATGATACCTAGAACCCTAGACAGGTTCTCGATACAAGTATCAGATTTCCTTAACACGTGCTCACATTTTCAAAAGCCAATGTACATAAAATGTAAAAAGTAACATAAAAGGTAGTCAATAATGATTCTTCCTGTCAGTTTTATTATTGTTGTTCTTGATTGAGAAAAAAAAACAACAACCTGGGAACTAGGTAAGGTGCCCCAACTTTAGCCTTTAGACTTCAAGAAAACACTGGCGCTTTGAACTTCAACCTGGGACGATACGAGGTCCTCTAAGAAAGTGAAAACCAAATCGCTAGACAGAATTTAGACGAGACGCCTGGGTCCAGGGCTTAGAACTCTGAGATCTGCAGAGATCACGTCACCTCTCTGGACTTCGCCTGGTTTCTCTAATCTAAAGCGGAGGCTGCGGATCACAGGATCGCTCAGGTCTCCGGCTGAACTTAGAGTACAGGACGGGGTCTCCCGCACCCGCTTCCTGGCCTGGGACGGGGGACACCTGCTTGCTTTTCTCTCCCTCCCAGGGAGCAACCCCGGGGAGGAAGCTACTGTGAGTACCTCCCGCGGGAGAGTTGGGAGCCCAAAACGCATTTTTTTAGAGGAGCTGCCACAAAACTCCAGAGGCGAGCGCTTTTGCGGGCAGTGGGAGCAGCGCTGGGCGGATCGGAGCCGGGATGTCCTCACCTGAGCCCAGGATCAGCAGCGACAGCACCACCGGCGCCCGCGGCAGCAGCGGGGCTCTCATTGGTCCCTCGGCGCGGCGGCGTCGCGGTCTCTGGGGCAACCGGATCGGGAGCTGCGGCTGGAGGAGGAGGAGGAGGAGGTAGGAGACCAGGGGGAAACCGGGAGTGAGCGGCAGTGCTCGCCGGCCCGGCCGGGCTCGGGGCGCCGCACGCAGCGCGGGGAGCTCGCCTCGGGTTCTCCGGGATCCGACTCGGGTGCTGGCTCGACGTGTGCGAATTTACCGGAGGCGCGGCGCTCACCTGCGGCTTTATAGGGCGGGCGGGGACTCCGGCATCGCCCGTGACATGACGTCAAGGCCACCGCCGTGGGTGGAGGCGGCCGCCGCCCCAGAAGAGGTTACTACCCCAAAACCACACACGGATGGAGGCACCCCGCCTACCTCGAGCAGAGAAAGCCGCTGGGAGGAAATGGAAATTAAACCCCTAGCCGCAAACAGAAAGAACATCAGATTCAGATTTGAGGGCGGGAGTGGAGGCTGTGACCTAGTATCTGACAAAGTCCCAATTTTTCAAGCTCTCTGGAAAACCTCCGCGTATACTTCGGTTGGTTTTAATATTACAACAGGTAGGGATTCATTGGAACAGAAGATGTAAAAGCACTTTAAGACCGAGTGACTTAATGATAGCCCAGTGTCTTTAACAAGGATAAATGAAATTCAATAAATGACCAGAGAGCCCTCAACCAAGGGCCCTTTCCCACCCACCACTATGAAGTGGCCACAATTTCAACCACCTCCCTTCCCATTTCTTTAGGTGGTCCAGGGCGCTCATCAAAATTGATATTAACCATTTATTACCGACAAACTATACACTGGAAATATTAAACCGTCTCAACAACCTTGCTGGGTAAAGTATTATCTCCCTGTTTTACAAGGAGGACAAATGCCAGCTTTTCAAAGCCAGGAGGACTTTACACAGCAGGCCATGGCAGAAGCCAGATAAATTTAAATTCGCATTCAGCTGACTCTAAAATCTTTCTACTCTGATAAAGGAATATAGACTAAACTGATCTTTAAAAAGAGAGTTTCTGGAGAGAACAACACAGCACAAAGGAATAATCTCTATTGGTAGCATATTGGCATATGGATGAAGGGTGGTGCCCAAGACTATACCCAGAGCTGCTTAATTTGACTAACCATGATGTAGAAACAACCCCAGAACTGGATTTTCCTTGACTTGAGAGAAAAAAGCACTGTTCTAAGTGTTTCCATGTCCTGACGATGCATATCTCTTCCCCATCCTTGCAGTAAAGCAGGCTTTCTAGCAATGTGATCACAGAGCATGCGTCCTAATTCTGAGAAACTTTTCAAATGCTACTTTTTAATGGCATATCATACTGAGTAGGCTAAGTAATACATTTAGCAGAATATTGTCATGACTCATGCCTTCTCTCATATTCAACATTTACTGAGAGCATATTTTGTGAAATTCACTTGTTTTTTATGCGGGGGGGTTTGGGGGGGGGTTGGGGAAGGCAGTACAGAGGAAGATTAAATGATGACCAGCTCCCTGCTGTCCAGTGCAGTGCGCTGTGGGCCAACTAGAAGAGTAATCCTGTTACATCAGATGATAAGGATTCAGAGTGCAATGGGAAACAAGGATGCAGTTCACTTTTGCCCATGAGTATTAAGGGGAAGCTTTGTAGAAAGAGGGAGAGTACGCTCAGTAGTTTTCCCAGCAGAAAATTTAAATGGAAGGACTACCTGGTGACACGGTGTGACTGAGAATAGAAAATAAGACTAGAAAGATGGCACCACCCACCCGAGGGTAAAGCAGGGGCCTGCACTGTCATCCTTTTTGGCAGATGAGATTCAGAGCCTGCCCACAAATTTCAAAAGATGGTGGAGATTTTGTTTAGACTTCAGGCCATGAGCCTACACTTTTGCACCTTTCTGCTCTGCTAGATGTCCATTTCTTTTTAATTCTGTTCTTCCCCCTTTCTTGTGCTTTCTTCTTATGGAGGTCAAAGCAAGTTGTGCATATATGTCATCATATATGTTTTACTTTGAAGTGAAAGTTGGCTCTTCACATTACAATTGGAAATTTAGAGGCTGATAATTTACATTTGTGTGGAATATAACATAGCATCATAGGGCCACAATGGCTAGTGCTTAGTATAACCTTTAGATTCAATCCAATTGAATTTTCATATAGAAATTCTACCACATAATAAGTTGCTTCATATTTGAAAGACTCAGATTCTTCATCTGAAAATAGGAATAAAAATATCTATCTGCTGCTAAGCAGATCAAATGAGATAAGATACATAAACAAGTAGCATAGATCCTAGCATTTGGTGAGTACTCAGGAAATGGTAACTATTATTACTAACCATGATATTATGATAGTTATATTAATCACCTTAAAGAATTAAGAAACTCTTATAAATGGAGCTACTCACAGAGCAAGTGAAATAATCTCCTTCAGTATTTTCAAGCCATGCACTGTGTACCTACTTCACATTAAGACTAACCATTTTGAACATTTTATGTGCATCATAGGGTAACTTAGAGCATCATAATCGAATCACAATGGCATTACTGCTTGATGACTCGTGGCATTCTGGAATATATGCATGAGAAGGAAACCAACCCCATTTAAGTGTGAGATTCTTTACATTCTGCATATTAAGCTCAGACAAAGAGGAAAAATTTCAATAAATTAAGTAGAAAAGCAATTCTTCTTTATCCTGGTGAATTGATGGTTCCCTCACCTAGAATGAGGTAAAGGGCAGTCCTAAAGGCAAATGCTCCTAGCCAACCACTCATTTTGGTGCCTAGTGTCTGGATCCTGATAATATTTTATACATATAGTGGAAACAAACTCACTTTGACTATGCCAAAAGGTGTGCTACATAACCAAAGTATAAAGATGTGTTTGTTCATATAATTCATCATAAGTTTTCATGAATAGTGCCAGTGTCTGAGTATTAATTACATCATGATCCTTTTTATGAGTAAATACATGAACCCCCAAACTAAAATTAAGAAATTTTCTAATGTATAAGTAATGTTTCCTATATTATTAGTAAATGCTTTAGCTCTGTTTAGACGTCTATAATTTTCGACTTTTTCACCTTAGAATTTATCCATGCTAAAGAATATATGATTTATAGTTCCTTCATAAAGAGGTTTACATGAACTTGATTGTTGGGTACCTTGACATACTAGTAAAATAAAACTATTTGCTCTTTATAGCCTTAACATGATTGGCTTTTGCAGACCAAGGACTAAACAGATGGGGCTGGAGGTGGTGGATGGTTTGATAGGATGGAAACACACAAAAATGAATCGTCTGGGTAGTTCATTTACTCATCAAGTGTGTTTGGAGAACTAGATACTCTTCTAGACATTAGGTCCTTGTTTTTAAGGACCTTAAATTCTATTAAGGGGATACACATAATAAACAAGGCACAACACATAAAATAATTTTCAGTAGTAAGAAGTGCTGGAAAAGAAATAAAATATGAGCCCTAGCTGGTTTGGCTCAGTGGATAGAGCATTGGCCTGTGGACTGAAGGGTACCGGGTTCAATTCCCAGGGCACATGCCTGGGTTGCAGGCTCCATCCCCAGTAGGGGCTATGCAGGAGGTAGTAGATCAATGATTCTCTCTCATCATTGATGTTTCTATCTCTCTTCCCCTCTTCCCTCCTCTCTGAAATAAATAAAAATATAGTTTAAAAAGAAATAAAATATGAGATATAGAGAACTTGGGATGATGGTGAAAGTTAATAAAAATAAATACAAGATAGTTCCTACACTTAAGTAACTCCCAGGATAAACAGATGGCAGGACAAAACAGAGGATTTTCCTACTGAACAGTAATGACAGTGTGGAAGAGCAGAGATATATATAGACAGGAATGAAGGTAGAGATAGAGAAGAATGAGGGATGCTAAATAGACAGAAGCCTTGAATTGGGCTTCAACAATGTGGAGGAATTTAGAAGATTATGGAATTCCTTTCACTAATTGTTTCTCAAATATTTCTGTTAGCACGGCTAGACAAGAGCTCTCTTTAGCTTACTGAAGGAAGGCAAACTAATCGAATCACCTGAGAAACATTTCAAAATGTTCACTCTATTCTCACTGGATTCAGTAGGTTTGGTATGGGGTCCAGCTACATATATTTTTTAAACTTTCAAGAAAATTCTGATTGTACCTCTGATTAAAATTTTCTCCAGTAGGGGATGCAAAGATGAAAAAAGTCAAGGTATGTTCAGAGATATTATAAACTGGTGGGACTGTACATTCATATAGATGGAAGTTTTGTTGGAAATGTGAAATATGGAAAAATGAATTTCAGCAGGAAGCATGTGAGTTAGTGTGTTGCACACACTTATTTTACCTCTAAGAAACTCATGTTACAAATGGACTCAAATGCTATTTCTTTAAATAGGGAACTACTTTAGTGTACTAAAAAGATGTCTGGGGGCGGGAAAAGTCACTTTTTACTAAGTCCTTCAGGAACCAATTTGTTGCATAAATGGAATCAGAACTACACTGAATTAATATGGAGGCTCCCTAACTGTATTCTGCAGGAGAGACCAGGAAACAGGATGTCTGCAACCATCAGACACTAAAATAGGAAGCATGTCAAATTTTAGTATGCTATTAATTCTTCATAAATTTAGGATTTCAGGATAAGATTTGGCATTTTAATATTTCAGAAAAATTATATACTGAAGTTAGATGGTTGAAGTAGAATCCTATGAAAAGTTTTTACTACTTGTAGTAATTAAATAATTATATCCTTGATTTTTAAATTATGTCCAGGCAACCTTTTATATGCATTTAACCTTTCTTTAAAGCATTTCTACTTTCCTTATTGTTTTTGCATTTTATTTTACATTTCATCACTCCAGTTATCGCATATTCAAATATTGTATGATGACCACTTGCTGAGTTGCTGAACTTTTAAGTAACTCTTGTTACTTAAAAATGGATATCATATGCATTCCTCTAAGAATTATATGAGTTCTGTTATGAGTTTAATGTCTAAACATTCATGCATTTTTAGCCAAGCTAGGATTATATATAGATTTTGTTGTTTTTTTCCCCATGAGCACAACAGGCTTTTATTTCCAAGTTCAGTGACAGTAATAGTGTTTTAAATATCATTAGTGGAGAAATTACTAATTTTTTGTAGAGATCACTCCTGTACAGTCTGTCATATGCAGAGACAGGTTAAACCAGAAAGAAACTGTTAGGCCAGTAGGTCAATGCAAT